GGAATGGCGCCCATGCGTCATCCCTGGGCACACATGATGCCCTTGTCCTCATGCAATGTCCCTGGCTCTGCGTCCCCAACCCCATGCAACATTCCTGGACACGGGAAATGACCCTGGCCCTTGCGATGTCCCCAGTCCAGACATATACGCCTGTGGCAGGGAGGGATTTGCAAGTGCCAGGGAGGGCCAGAGCTGGGGCAGGAGCCGAGTCCCTGCAAACTCAGCCCACGGCCTGGTGCGGCGCTGAGGGTGCAGGGCTCCCCGCGCCCCCAAACCTGCTGGGATTCGCCCTTCCCGCCGGGCACCGCGCGACGGCTGAGCCTGTGCCTGCTCCCCAGGTACGAGATCCCGGACACACAGGCGGCTGATGAGCGGCAGCTGGAGATCCTGCAGGACAAGGCCAATTTCCGCAACTTCAAGCCCAAGCCGTTCAACATGCTGGAGTTCTATGACCGGGCCGGCCACGACATCCGCGAGATGCTGCTGTCCTGCTTCTTCCGTGGGGAAAAGTGCAGCCCCGAGGACTTCAAAGTGGTGAGTACCAGGCACAGTGCCACCGGCTCCCGGGGATGCAGCCACCGTGCCCTCCAGTTGCCAGAGGGAAGAGAATTTGTGGGAAACCCCCACTCTGAGCGGGAGGCGCGAAGGTGTTTGGGGGATCCCAGCACTCCCTGGTGCTGCCCAAGCCCCGCGAGTCCTGCTTCTCGTGCGCATCCCGTCACCACTCCGTGCCGGAGCAGCTGCCTCATTGCTGCCGCCGGGGCTGCTGCTCCTGGCAGGTCAGGCTGGTTCAGTGGATCTGGTGCGGGAAGCTGGTGGGCGCTGCTCCGCACGATGCTCTGGCCCAGCTGGCGGGATGCGGCTCCCTCTGCCCGTGGCTCCGCCAGCCCCCTCCTGCCGCCGGGTTCCGTTTTAGCCCGCTCCTTGTTTTTCCCCTCCCGTCTTCCCCCATCTCAAAGCCAATCCAGCAGGGATTTCAGCCCAGGGCCAGCAGCTCCGTGCTGGGCTTCCCCACGTGCTGGGAATGGGAAAGGCCCTGGGGAGGGCTCCAGCGTCACCGAAGAGCCCCGGGCACCACGGCAGAGCGTCCCGGGCATTGCGCTGCTCTGGCTCCGCTGGCACTGAGACGGGCTGTGCTGGAGGGGAATTTCGGCTGCCAGAGACGGGAGGCTCTGGTGCGGGATGGAGCCGGGCTCCGGCGGCAGGGAACGCTCAGATCGGGGGTAGCCGTGAGCTTATGGAGCGGGATGGAGTCAGGCTCCGGCAGAAGGGAATGCTTGGAGCGGGGGCAGCCGTGCGCTCCGGCGCAGGATGCGCGGGGAGGGCAGGCAGGGACAAAGCGCCATCCGGGGATTATTCCGGCTTCTCCCCAGCCTTCCCCTTCCTCCTGCGGCAGTGGCCC